AGGCATGCACTAATTTGGCGCCGACAGCTTGTGGCAAGCGCACTACTAGGAGCACCTCTCACGAGTTGGGCTTATTGCCAAAAGTGGAGGCCTCTGGGTCTCCCTGTTCACTGCTCCAGCTGCTGGCGGAGTGTAGCTGTGGAGGTTCTCGCATGCTGGAGGTTTCTGCGAAGCATGTCCCTGACCATATCCTTGATTTTGCCATCCATGCGCTCGAGGCTACCGAGCTCCCCTCGAATGTGTGCAAAGATTCGCTGCTTGTCGAGTTCAGAGGAAGCTTGGCAACGCTCCACCTTACTGGTGAGGGGGAGTCGGGTAACGTACATTTATCCTATGTCATCCCCTGTATTGATACCGTATAGTATACTCTTCCCTCCGTAAACGCCGTAAACCGTCGCATTATATACTACCTAAATTATGTAACCCCCAACATTACTACGCACGCATTCCCTGCTCCATTCCCCCGGAAGCGCAAGTAAGCCACCTGCAGGCAGCTGATCCGCCGGCCCAACTCCAGGGCTACGCCGACGGAGTCGCACAGCTCGTCCCCCAAAATGCCGCAATCCTTTCTGGTGCTGGAGGTTTCGGGTTTGAGGAATAGGAAGGAAGTGAATTCCCATGATACTTCCAGTCCAATACATGGAACCCCGTCCATACCCCCTATGGTACTGGTGCTGGATGGGGAGCAGCGAAGTGAATTCCTATATAAGAATCCGAAGATACATACACTATATATACATGTGTATACCATATATATGCCAAATATAGATGCCCCTCCGTATTAATGCCAAAATTCACTCCCCCCCTCCCCATACACCATAAAAGCCCGTAGCAAGCCCTAAAGCCTTGCAGTAGTTTTCATGCTCTGCCCCGGTCCCCCTTAAGCACCGGCAAGCATCTGTGGCGAAGACGACCTGCAGAGCCCTTTTGCTGGAGAGGAAGAGCTCAAAGAGACACCAAACTCCTCCCAAAATGCGTAGGACGTGTGTGTGTGTGTGTGTGTGTATGCTTTACAGTGCAGTGGCCTACGCCCTCGGTGGTTTGCTGCACCAACTTCAGGGTTCAGGGTTCAGGGCTCGGCAGTCGCAGTATGTTTCAGTCGAATGCATCTAGGGCACGTGTGAAGGGCTGGACCTGCTGGTCCAATACCATGACCACGCCCTGCACGCCGGACTGGAGGACCTTGGCAAAGGCGCTGTCAAGGACGTCGGTCCCGATCTCCTTGGCAATGTCCCACTGGTTGTTGGCGAAGGAGCATATCCAGTAAGTGGGTTCCAAGGCGCCCGTAAAGGCTGTGTGGCGCTGCAGGCACTGGACAAAGTGCTGAAAAGGGGTGGCCCAGCTGTGCGAAACAAAGTATGACACTGGCTTGCCCTGCAGGAGGCTTACGAAAGATGTCTGTCGCTTCTCCGTGAGCGGCTCCACGATGTTGGCCACGACAAAGTGCATATTTCTCTCGAGAACGAAGCGCTTGAAGTGTTCCCAGAAATGCTGCAAAGCGTGCATGGACAGTCCTTGGTTCCGGGGGTGGTCCTGGTCTTCGGCAGCAGGAATGGTTGCTAGGCTGAACGAGCTGAGCTCGCTGAGGTACTCCCGGCACGCCTCCTGCAGCGGCGTACGCTGCCTCCGCAGCAGCCAGGCCACCACGGGGTGCAGCAAAGCTGCACAGACCACCAACGGCAGGACGAAGTAGCCTTCCGTCACCAGCACATGCCAAGGTCCGTTCTTGGAGAGGCTTGCTACCACCAGGACGGTGGGAACAAGGAGCAGCAAACAAAGTAGAATCCAAAACTGCAGGAGCATCTTCTTGTAGCCACTGTTGACCCGTAAGAACCCTTTACTGGTCGCACAGGTGTAGGGCGGCTGCTCGGGCTGCAGCGGCAGCTGCAGCTTGCAGCGTCTTAAGCTCTTCACTTTCCCAGTGGTTTTTTTGGAGTCCAGCCAGGAGAAGCCGGTGCCGTGGAAGTCGTAGGAGACCTCGCTGCGGATGTAGTTCACCAAGAGCTTCGGCAAGTGGCAGACGGGGCCTTGCACCGTCACGAGCAGCCCTTCGCCTTCAAGCGTGTGCGCATCCACCACCGCCAGCGGAGCCCAAAGGACCTCGAAAGCTGTGGCGGCCAAGAGGACGAAGACCACTGCAGCCAGCAGCAGCAGCAGCCACAGCTCTGCTTGTACCGGCAGGGCCACGCAAGGGTCCCCGGTGCCCTCCGACCAGGCCTCACGCACAGGCAAGAAACATGAACTGCAAACCACCATCTTACTGGGGATACCCGGTGAAAGCGCTGCTACA